GAACTTTATACATAATGTTTGCTTTGCAGTGCAGCAGTTCAGGTATATAAAAAACTCTAAACCTGTAAAAAGTAATGTCTGGGATCCTGATAGCCCGAAGCTCAGAAGGCAGAGGTTGGGCTATAGGTGTGATAGAGACCAGGATGAGGCGAGTGGAGGTTGCTTAGACTGTAGGTTTATCTATCACGACGGCCAAGTATTGGTGTCACAGTGCAAGTGGACAGGTATGTTTTAACGGTGAAATCACCCTATATCACCGAATACTTATGCCCTTTGGAATCCCCAAGGAGTTACACAACAAGAAGGGCGTTAAATTGGAGGCCACCCGGAGGAGAGTTTATTGTGTGACTACAGCCAGCAGCGAAGGTATATGATCTTGAGGCAGTCCGCTGTTGACAAAGGAATCATTGTGGCAGTCGACGTCAGGCACGACGCCTCAGGAGAGTCTGCAACGTTGTTGGCATTCGGTTAGGCTTGACTTCTAACACGGTACCCTCTCAAAGCAGAACTCTAGAAGACCAAAAAATCGGGAAGAGTTGAAAAGGTCGTTATTGAATAATGCATCGGTAAACCAAGAAAAAGCACAAGGAAACTCGCAAAGAAACTGAATACTAAAGGCCCGAGGGTTCTAAATACGGTGTACATCTGTATTTCGATGAAAGTTTGGGTGTTACCGCCTATCACAGAAGGGAATTCCCTGGACAAACAGAAAACCAAATCTCAGCTAGGACGACCTTCTGTAAGAGAATCAAGAGGTGGACTTAAGGCGACTGGAAACAAGTCGTCTTCTCCGATGAATGAACTGTTGCATCCGCCAAACAAAGAAAGACGTTATTTGGTCTCCGAGTCGTAAGTTCCTAAGTTTAGACCTACAGTCATGGTGGGAGGAGCAATGCCTTTTGGAGGGCTCTCTGGCGTCCACATTTTACCACAGAACCAAAGAATGAATGTTTAATAGTATAGAGCGGATATCTTAAAAAAAACCCGTTTAAAAAACTGAAAAAATAGTGTGAGTGGGTCAATATTGGATAATAAACTTGCTCCGGACATGCCAAGGATTATTTTTATGCAGAGCGCACCCACCACTAATACAGCTCCGCATACCCAACGGTTGCTGTCAGGAGGAAAAACATGTGGCAGGCAAATTGTTCTGACTTGAATCCGATTGAAAATCTATTGTCAATTCTTGTTAATGTGGTTTACGAGAAACTGCCTGCTCCTACTTCTGTTGCCGGATTGGACAGATCCCGGCAGGATGCCTAGAGAAAGATACCCTCAGTGATCCTCCAGAATCGCATTCATTCGATGCCATGTGGGGTGGAAGCTGTCGTAAAGGTCAAAGGTAAAT